CTATAATGAAATGCTTCTTATAAAAAATAATATATATATATATATAATTAAAAAAAGAAACTAGATTTTCAGATCTAGTGGCAGTTTAGATACCAGTATCAAAACTACCAACATCATAGCCACAAAGGTACCAACATTCAACCTTTATTTTCTTCAGGAAAAAGATGGATGACACACTCATGCTTAGATACACATTAATAGTGCATATCAATCATCCCTCAGTATCCATCCAGAGGTTTGGTTCTTCAGGCCCACTCTGCCCCACAGATAAAAAAAAAGTGCAGAGATACTCCAGGCCCTTATATAAAATGGCACAGCATCTGCATATCACTTAAACACAATCTCCCACACACTTTAATGCCTTGACTACTTATAGTACCTAAAATAACATATATGCTATGCTCAGTAAATAACAAAAAAAAAAAGTTCTGTATATTTTCAATACATTTTTTGGCGAGAGATCTTTTCATCATGGTTAAATCCACATATGCAGAATCCAAAGATATGCAGGCTGACTGTATTTTTTACATCTGCCATTCTACTGTTTTTTCACTCCTATTTTTGATGACAAATCCCTAGTCATGGCAGGCACGACGAAAGAGCTTCATTTGCTTTCTGATTTCTCAATGGCAGAGGTGTATGCACACCTTCCATCCAGGAACAAACTGCACTGGGTTCCAATCTTTGATACCTGCCCATCACCAGGTGGGTAGGAAAGCAAAATTCCTTATTCAAAGTACTCGCCAACTCAAAGGTAACATAATGGATGTGGTCTAACAGCACATTATTAAACTTCCTCTCCACATACATTCAAAACTGAATACAGTTCAGAAAGCAACAAGCATTAGACTTAAAAGCTCAGAATGGGCCCCAGGGAAGCAGAATAATTCTTTTCAATACACTGTCAGTGGTTAAAAGAAAATGTCCGATGACGTCATCCTAAGAGCAAGACTGTCCTAAGGATGCTGAGGAGAGCTGCCCCACCTCATCTGCTATCAATGCATTCAATTCAGAATGGTCCAGATGGCACCATAACTATCTCAAACATATCCACATATAGAAAAGCCAAAAAGGCAGAAACCTTTCCTGTTTAAAAGAAAGTCAGAAATCTTTTCCTGTCTTAAAAATAAGCATATGTTTACTCCTTTTCTATGAGGCAGAACTGAGGAGTTAAAGGATGCTTTAGCTAAATTACTGATATACTTTCAACTTCAGTTTTATAGAATGAGGCATACAAAAATAAATGTTTGACTTCACATCGCCCCACATGACAAGGAGAGGCGAGCACAATATACTCCTACCTCACTGTGTACTAAATGAAAACCATGTGGCCTTACAGGAACTGAATTCTCTACACTGATGACACATCCGACATCAAAATAATGGATTTTCTTCTATTAAAAACACTGTATTTTAAAGGTTGCTGGTGTGATTCCTGGGTCTATGGGTTCCATTCCTAGCCCTGCCAAATACAAATTTATATTATGTTGTATTATGGCGTACCATTCTGCCATTATAGCAAAATGAAGGCCTGCAGACATTGAGTTTGATTTAAAACAGCCTGCCCGCCTGACACACATCACCAGGTGGGTGGGGAAGCCCAGTCCCCCATTTACAAAACAGACCCCAAGCCAAGTCAGGGGGAGCACAATGGACTCGGTCTATCAGCACGCTGTGCAACTTCCTCCCCGCATACATCACTTCACTGCACACGTTAGCCGACACCACACACTTGGGCTGGGAACGGATGATGTCATCCCAGGTCCTCCCAGCCGGGAGGCTCGCGGCGGGCCTTTAAAGGGGACCGGTCTCCACCCGGGAGCGGCGGGGCCGAGGCCTGAGCGTTGCACCTGCTCGGGCCACACGGGCTGAGCGGCCCGCGGCTACCGATCGGCTGACTGACCAGCCGCCCCGGCCGCCGCCCCGCGCCTCCCGCCCCGCGCCCGGCCCGGCCCGGGGGCACACAATACATTTTCACGCCGTTGGCGCCGCTACCGCGCGGCGGCTTCTCGGGCTCCGCGTCTCGCCGCTCGGCCGGGTGCTGCTGCGGGCCGTCGTCGCCCGCCGCCGCCTCGGGCTTGTCGGCGTCCGCCATCCCGCGCAGGCTCCGCCTCGGCCGCGCTGAGGACTCCGAGCGCGACAATGGCGGCGGCCAGCGGAGCGGTAACGGATCCCGATTTGAAAAGGCCCCGAGCGCTCAGCGGCCCGGATCTCGCGAGAACCGACCGAGGCTGGCGACTGCGGGAGCGAGCGGGGCGCGGGGGAGGGGCGGGCGGGGGGCGCCGCGGGCTGCAGACTGACACCTGCCCGGGAGGGGCGGGGCCTCGGCTGGAGCCCCGCTTCCGGTCCGGGTCTCGGGAGACCCCGGGGGTGCAGCCCTTCCAGATGCGCACGGGGTGACGGGGACAGCCCGGAAAGTCTCCAGACACCTGCGGTCCCCCTGGGAGAGCCTCTGCCCACGCAGACAAGCCGCCCTGGAACTGCCTAGCGACGGCGGGAGCCAAGAGTTTCTTTAAGGGTTGGTTGTTGATGAGGGGGAAGACTTCTGTGGAACTTAGCGATCAGCCAGAGGGCTGAAGTTTTGACATTCTGGGGCCGCAAGCAATGTGCATAATGCATTTTCTTTAAGAAATCTTGTACTAGACTGGCCAAAAATACACGTTTGGGGTTTGGGTTATGTGTTTATTATATAGTGGTGGAAATGGAAATTATATGTGAAGGAGTTGTAGGCACTCAAACACTTGTCATAGGGAATTTTTTAAAGTAGTTATAGATTTCGCCCCTAAATATGAGAAAGAAACCCATTAAACTTAATTCCTAACTCTTGAGTCCTATAATTATGCTTCAAACTAATCTTTTTCTGTTGAAAATACAAAGGCTTTCCCAAATGTTTCTTTTCATAAAAAAGCAAATGTATGGCATACTGCTTTGCAAAATACTACACGGATATTGGCTATTAGTGATAACGCTGTACATAGCAACTTGTATTCAACTGGGAGTTGCACTCTACAAAAATAAACCCATAAAATACCCTGTCCAATGCCTGAAGAGCTGAGCTACACACACGCACACACACACACACACACACACCATTTTATTAATGATGAGAACGGTTGGTGAAATACTGTGTTTGGCAAGCTGCCTACATTGATTCCTAAACACAATATTAGTACACTTTCTGCAAAATTGTTTCTTCTCAGTCAGTCCTGGGACCCGATGTTTGGAGTAACAGGATGGGCACTGGATTCTGGCAGGAAAAAAATGGGGTTAGGGCTGACCTCTTCCACTTTCTGCCTGTCACTCCTTAGGTATGTCACTTCTCAGTCTCTATTCATGGTAAAGATAATACCTGCCTTCCAGGGTCACGTGAAGGTTAAAAGAAAACACTATGTAGGGCAAAGTGCTACATACACTGTTGCAGTTCCCTGTCCCTTAAACATCTCACAGGGTTTTAGTCAAAGAGAAGCCAGATGGTTTGTCCCCAAGCAGTACATTGTAATTATTTCAAAATACATTCTCTTACTGTTTTGGTACAGTTGAATTTCACAAAGAAACACATTCCTACAACCCCTAGTCTAATAGATTCCTTCAAAAACTTTCAATGCTTTTCAAGAGGTCTTCATGCTTAAAACATAAGACACCTGAGGAACATAGAAATGACCAATGCCCTAAGGGGAGAGGGCTTTTGTAAACACTATTTGAGTGCTGTAGCAGAGATAAGAACAAAGTATAATTTAATTTAAAAAACAAAACAAAGCAGGAGATAGGGCCACACTCCCAAGTACGCCAACCAAAACATTTCATTAAAAGATCTTTCTTCATTACTGAGCTTGGGGTGGGGAAGGGCTCCCTACAGCCCCTGGTCTTGGTGAAGGCATTAAAAGCAGAGGGCCATTCCTACTGGGGATCAATGACGAGTCCCCAGAGCTAGGTCTAGATAGATGGGGAGACTTGGAACAGCTTCTGAGGAGAGGTAAAACTGCTCTATGCAACAACTTTCCCCTCCCGGCTGTTGAGAGTTTACTCCCTATACAAAAGATACAGACATTTTACTAAATATATAAAAGATAAGTAAAAATAGCATTAATAATCTCTTGCTGAATTCAATTCCTGTATCTCCTCCTTTGCTTTTCTGTTTGTCTATTTGTTTGGGCTTTTTTTTTTTTTTAACTAAACATGCACACTGAAAACTCTTATGTAATGCTCCAGTTTTTCATCCTTTGCAGCTCACACTGCAAAATTGTTAGCCTTTGTACAAATCTGGCATAATACCACATGGACGCTTAGTTTTATTTCTCACAAATTGGAATGTGTATTTACATGTGTGTGCCTGTGTACTTCTGTGTGTATGTGTGAAAAAGAAAAAGAGAGGAAAATCTCGCGTATCTAGAAATGTAGCTCTAACATTGAGTCTTTCTGCTAATAACTTGATACATATTATCATTTAGAATTTATGTTCACCCGCTAGTAACAATGACTGAAATATTTAAGAAAAAGAAGTGCAGCTGGGCATGGTGACACACAGCTTTAATCCCAGCAGTCGGGAGGCAGAGGGAGCAGATCTCTCTTTGAGATTGAGGCTAGCCTGGTCTACATAGTAAGTTCCAGGCCTGCTGGAGCTACAGGGAGACCCTGTCTCAAAAAAAAAAAAAAAAAAAAAAAAAAAACAGAAAAGAAAGAAAAAAAAAGTGCAGAGGGTGCATCCTAGGAAGGATTCAGTAGACCCAGGCTCCCTCCAACTTTCATATTCTATCACCATCCTAGTATGAGGCTTTCATCCTTAAGGTGGCTCCATGGCCCAAGACTGCTTCTGGTGATCCAGGCATCTTGTCTGCATTTTGGGTTAGAGTTGTCCAGAATAGAAGGAAGCATCCTATTCCAAAGTCTCATACAGTACTTGTAGCGATGAACCAAAACTTATCCAGGAAACAGGAGTTCTGGGAGGCTGGCAAATAGTTGAGTAGCTTACTGCCCAGGAGGTTCTGTTACCAAATGAAACACAAAGGAAATGAAAAGGCAGCCTTTTCATTTGTCATTAAGAATTAAAAGGCAAAGGTTAAGTCAAGTATAAGGGCATACAACCTAATGCCAGCACTAAGGAGGTGGAAACCGGAGGATCAGAAACTCAAGGTCAACCTCAGATACATAGTGAGTTCAAGGTCACCCTGAGCTACATGAGCTCCTGCCTCAAAAAATAGAGGAATAGATAAAAATAAAGATCAACAAAATGAAGCCAAACAAAAGTATGACTTGAATTAGTTTTTCTTGACTGACTATATAGGTTAAATGGCTGGGTTCTGAAGTGCTAAGTTTTGAATGTTAGAAAGTAAAATGCTCTTTCTTTTTTTGAAGCTTAGAAAAGAATTTCTAGATCTGGGGGTGTAGTTCAGTGGTAGAGCACTTGTCCGGCAAGAGTGAGACCCTGGATTCACTCTACCAAGCAAGTGAATTTCAGGAATAAGGTAATTATCTCCATAATCTATGCAGAAACATCGCTTTTCATCTTAGTGATAATACCAAGGGTTTTGCTCGAATTCTTTAGATGATTGTTTTGTTTTTCAATGTTGTACTCCTAGTGTTGTTGCCAATATTTTAGCAAACTAAATATGTTAAAATATGTGTATATCTATGCAAAATGCAAAGAAACAAACTTGATAATATGTATTCGTATTATTTTCAGCTCTCACATGTCGGGGGAAAAAGCAAAGCTTTTCTTCATGTAAGGAAGAACTTCATGCAGAGTTCTATATGTCTTAACAACAACTAGTTGGGATGGGAGAACAAAAGTCCAGGAGCTATTGAAAGAGTTCAAAAAACTAAGAAGGAGTCACAATGAAGCACCAGCTTTGGTCCCTGAAGGCAGGTCAGAAGACCCCTGCAGCCCAGAGGTGCTGGTGAAGCACCCTATCTGCCATTTGCCGACACCCACCAAGCTACCTGCAGCTGTTGCTGACATGGTTTCTTCTCTGTCTTCCCCAAAGTTTTGCAGCAATACCCCTCATCATCAGAATTAGGCTGAAATACAACAGGCAACTGAATTTGAGAAATGTCCCATAAGAAGGTAAGGTTACCAGGGGACAATGCTGAATAACAACAGGTCATACATGGTGGTCATATGGAAACTGCCAAGCCACTTAGCACACTTTCTGAGGTCCAAAGTTACTACAAAGGTATTTGCAAACCTAAGGAAAGTGGTAGCACAGTTAAAAATGCAAATTTGAATATATTTTGTGCTATAGTTAGACCTCACAAATGTGCTCCAACTAAGAACAAGTAATGGTTCAAATATAAAGAAAGACTGAATTATGGAAAGCAAAGCACACACAAAGCAGGAACAATCATGAAATAATGAACTTCCAGGATACCCCAGGTGGCCCAGATGAGAAAGGGAGAGTGGATGGGCATTAGGCAGAGGATGGCTTTCCTCACAGCTGCCAAATTCTGCTGTGAGCAGACTTAGAATTCAGCTTGGTAGTGAAAACATTAATGTATTGGGCAAAATAATGTATAAAATGATTGATTTCCACAATATATTGACATCCCTGTTTGTCAATTATCTGTTAGCTGATTCATATCACAGAAACATATATTGTGTCAGGAAAAAGACAGCTTTGGGGGGACATCTCTTTGGGAGAGATGGCTCAGCAGGTAAGAGCACTGGCCACGCTTCCAGAGGTCCCAGCACTGACATGGCAGCTAACAACTGTCCATAACTCCAGTTCCAGAGGATCTGGTGCCCTCTTCTGACCTCCGTGGGCACTACACAACACATGTGTACCTACCTACATCCAGGCAATGCACTCATACACATAAAATAATAATAATAAAATGTTTAAAAAAGAAAGACAGCTTTTGTTTCTCTGTATTTTTAGGCAAGCAAAATAATTTAAGCCAGTTCCTATACATGATAATGTTCATACTGTTCACATTTGTGAAGCATGTGCTCAGAGAAACCTTTTTTTTTTTTTTTTTTCGGTCTTTTTGAATCAGGGTCTCCCTGTAGCCCCAGCTGTCCTGGAACTCACTATGTAGACAAGAAACCTATTTTTAACAGTAATCTATATTTAGGAGTAGTAGAGGGCTTGAATTATGCTTTAAACGTAACAACTTGGAGGTCTGAAAGTGAGCAGTAAAATTAAAACCAGCTAAATTAAACTTCGTTTAAGTAGATCACTTGGAGCTGAAACATTCAGTGCTTCTCTTTTTGCAGAAGATTGTAAAACTAGCAAAAT